CAATAGTTATATTATACATATACAGGGTGATTTTTAACCTATACGCATAAAGTTGTGAAATTATTGCTGATGACAAATAATGACTAATAATGAAAAAGTTAGCAAAAGACTTTTATTTACGGAGATAACAAACTATCTACATATATGTATATAAAATGCTAATGTTTATCTGTGTGTGTGTGTGTCGTCTCTACTGAAGTAACCACTTGCTCTAGAAAGTTGCTTATTTTACTAAAAGATAGCTAATTGGCTCTTCTAAAAACTGTCGTCGCCGGATTTTTTGTTTTTCATTTAATTAAAAAAATTAAAAATATTTTTTCCTGATGTCGTGGCGGATGCGCCAGGCTTCAACTATACAGGGTTGTTCACCACATACGACACGGAGTATTGCAGCTAAACGATGAGATTTTTACAAATTGTAAGTTTGGGGTTCGTTGAAGGACTATTAGAGCTACAATTTAAAAATATTTTTACAAGATACAGAGTGTCCCAAGTAAATAAAAAATATCAAAGTTGTATTTTTTTAAATGGAACACCCTGTATATTATTACATTTTTAGTTTCTACGATTAAAATAAAGGTAAATTTGATTAAGGTTTATTATACTTAAACCTTACCGTTTTTGAAATATTTTCAATTTTGTGAAATTGCAGTAAAAATTTTAAAGCTTCATTTGCTGGCATCACGCTTTAATTAGCTAAATATTTCCCAAGCCCTATAAATATAGGGTACAACATTTTAATGTATACAGTCGCAGATCCATAAAATGTATAAAAATGAAAAATATACTTGACTAATTACATGTAATTAGTACCTTTCTGAATATTGACAACTTGAAATCCTTGAAAGCAACAAATGTACAATGTAGTAGAAGTAAAGAGACAGGATCTTTTAGGAGAGAAATAATATCCCTATACCATTTGTATAAAAAAGAAAATTATGATGAACATCTTTATAAAAGACAATAAAATGAATAAAAATACGAAACCATATATTACCTGATCATGCGGGCTAGATTAATCGACATCACTATAATTAAACTATAACGGATTAATAAATAAAATGTAGATTGTGAGACAGGAATTCAAGATAATAATTCCTATAACATTTTGGTCTCTGTTATTTTAAATGAAGATTTATTTTAAATGAAATATACATAATAAAGGTAATTACTACAATATATACATGTAAATTATCGCCTCATAAATCGACAATTATGAAAACTATGAACCATACAAATGCAGCAAATGTTTTTACAATGTACAAATAATGTGTAGAGACAGGAAATTATAGAGAGTAACAATGCCCATACAACATTCAGTTTTAGCATTTTGAGCAAACAGTATTAATTAAACCAAACAAACAGTTAATATACGAAATAATACTGGAATGTATTGATTGATTCGAAATTAACAACATTTAAACTAGTTTTTTTTATTTTTATCAATAAACGACGAATTATATCGACAAAATTAGTATCTGTAGGATTTAAAAATTTGGCATCTGTAACACATAATCTAATAAGTGAAAACTCCATTGGTATATTGATATATGTACTAAATTCTAAGAAAATCGATTTTCTACGGAAATCCATGAAGAGTTCCCGGACAAAAACGGTATTAAGTTTTAATTTGGGTATCATTATTTTGTATCTGATTTCGTAAAATTTTCAGGGTATTACTCATTGTTTAAACGATAAATGTCTATTGAACAATAGTTCAAGACATTTAACTGTAAGAATCTTATAAAATATAATTCAACTAACACCTCATAAGAAAGTATTAATGCAATTAGAGCAACAAATATAAACTGATCAGTAAACAAACTTCAGTAAATATTTAGTATTAAAACTTTGATACCTCTTTGAGAAAGGAAGCCTTAAAATTTTTACTGCAATTTCACAAAATTGCAATATTTCAAAACGGTAAGGTTTATATAATAAACCTTAATCAAATTTATCTTTATTTTAATCGTAGAAACTAAAATGTAATAATATAAGGGTGTTCCATTTAAAAATACAACTTTGATATTTTTTACTTTATTTGGGACCTCTATCTTGTAAAATGATTCTTCTTGTACTTCTAATATTCCTACATCGAACCTACAAAGCTACAATTTGTAAACATTATATTTTAGCTACAATATTCCGTATCGTATGTGGTGCACAAAATAGAGTAGAATTTCCATAATGACAAAAAGGAGACGGTTTCCATTAAATTGAGGGCGCCAAATATTTTTAAACGGCGATAACAAACTATTTGAAAAATAAAACAAAAATCAATTTGCATCTCCCACCCACTTATATTGAATGTGTGTTTATACGATAAAGTTGATAAACGTTGCAAGAATCTCAAGGTTTCTAAGAATGTAAAAATAATTCCGCATTTTTTTGCCCAGTTATTCGAGATTCATTTGTTCATTTCATAGCCAACTAGTTTGTCTCTTTTAAATTGCGAGGAAATACGGTGAAATTCACCCGTATACAATCGTTAGATAACATTATGTACCAAGTTTAATAAAAAAAATGAAATTTACGAGTATTTTAGTACAACAAATGTCCGATGGTTTGGAGAATACAAACACCAACCAGCCAATACAACACAAGTGGTACAAAATGTATGAATTCCTTTGACATATTTCACTCCTTGTATAGCCTGATTTATAATTACAATAACCATTGTATATTAAATCATCAATAAAATATTGGACCTGGAAATGTTATACAGTGTATGAGACAATAATATAATCATTGAACATTACTCACTTTTATAAAAGTTAAGCTTAACATACATTATATTTTATCAATGAAACACCCAGTCTTATTATAACCGGTATTCAATGGAGAATTCACAAATATCTTCAAAAAAACTATGGGTTGTTTATCCCTCATCTTTCATGATTTTCTCCTAGATATTTTATTTCTTTTATAGATCCAATAATAATTACGTCATTTGAAAAAAAAAATTACGGGCAAGCTGGATTTTCTGTGGTTTGTCAGCGACTGTCTCTGACTGTAATAATCAAAATCGTCCAATTTTCATTCATGGCATCATTTGAGCATATAAGGGTAAATTTTTTAACTGTACTCACAACAAAATAATTAGACGCAAATTAGAACTCGTCCTCTATATTTTAAAAATGCTCTAAATTAAACTCTAGGCATATATAGTATAATAACTATCCTTGAAGTAACTATCCTTTCCACCAGGAACACAACAAAGATGAGGCATAGCACCAATAACACACTCACTTAAGCTTTATTGATGAATTGTTAGAGTCTTAAAAACACACACAAAAATCACGATAAGTAAAAATGTATGGGCACTTTTAGGTTAAATCACTTGCACGTGTAATTTTTAAAATTTCTATTTTTTATGCGAAACCGAGAGTGACCATATATCTGGTAATGGTTATGTCTTCAACACCAAAATAATTAGTTTTTTGCACTACAATAATAAATATGGACTTTTTTTAATGTGTTTAGTACCTACGTGTATTCTGGCTCTTATCCTTAAAAGCAAAAAAAAATCTGTGATTCGAAGCATCGCTTTGAATTTTTAGATATCAATTATTCATAATACCAGCTAAAAAGATAATATGTATTTTTTTTAACTTTTTCTGAATATCAAGATCACAGTCAAGATGTTATCGGCTTGGTGCCATTATCCGCTGGTGCTGCCACCATCGGAGAATACTGTAAACAAATACACGGACTAAACAAATAGGGAAGACACGAAAAAATTGTTATACTTATTAAATAATTAATTACACATATAATTGGAATATTTATATTATAAATATTCCAAAAGTGTTATGAAGTATAATTTATGAAAATTCTAAGTACCTACAAAAATACAAAATAAATAGTTTTATATATTCAGAAGGTCTAACTTGTAGGTATGTATTATAATTTATTATTAAAGCTAATAAAACTTTTTAGATGAGTTCAACCATAAAGTTCAACTTCATAAATTTTAAAAGATGTTCAAAAAAAAATTAAGCACTAGTTGATGCCCATTAATATTGCAAATTATATTTTATCTTCTATTTATCCTATTTAATTTTTTGCTAATATAAGGGGCACTTTGTTTACTCACTTGTTTCGTCGAACTGCTTGAATCCATTTTTGCTTTTGACAACTTTTGATCAAATCGGTGTAAGAAACTGTGAAGCTATAAAATGTTGGGTATACCAAATGTTGTTTCGGGAGAGTTGAATATCCGGGAAAGTTGAATTATTTAACGTTATTGCACCCAACAACCACGTAATTACGCTCTCCTTTACGCGTTACCATTTTTCGGCAATTTTATTAACATTTGAAATTGTCACAACACAACGCGATGCCCAGTTCGGGTTGTTTCTCACTAAATTTGTACTACTCGAAACAGCGTTACATCACACAAACCTCGTACCTAATGTTTTTTAGTTTCAATAAACGTTTTAAATAAGGATACTCGGCTAAACGTTTGAGATCACTTCATTAAAAAAATATTTATTTTTTGACCAAATTTGAGGTTAGAATACAGCTTTCTTTTTTTATAAGAGTGACAAAGAAGACAGATTCAGGTTTGTTTATCTTTTGCTCGCGTCTGCGCATATCGCTGGCGGTAACAATGAAAATTAAAATCGGGATTTTGTTTTATTTATATTTTCCAAAGACATACTTTCCTATTAATTTTGAAAAATAGCGGTAGCGATATTAAGCTGATATAAATAGATATTATATTTTGATCTGTATTAAAAATTAAGAAGATCATAAGATGATTTAATACCAGTCAGTCCATAAAATCTGAGTAGGTAAGAATACGAAAAATATTCATTATTCAATAAGAAATCGTAGTAGAGATCAATTGTTGCTATAAAATACTCATTTTCCTCCAAACTAAACAACATTATTATTTGAAAAATCTCTTACAAATGTTATAATATATGCTAGCTTCAAAAGCATTTCTGTTTCTCTGATTTTATTTCTTTACTCTAAAATATATACATTTGTTTCAGTTGACTGGATGATTCCCAACAAACCCAATGCCACAATATCAATCGGAAACATCACCATAACAGCAGGTAGAGAAGCTATTTTTAGTTGTATAGTTAACATCACTGGAAGATACAAGGTAAATCAGGTAATAACAACTTTATTTATTAACAACTATTAGCACTTATCTAGTCATAGTTTTATCGCATGTTCTTAGACAAAACTAACAAAATATTAATCATTAAAAGTTAGGTCTCATACAACAAATGACACACATATGTAAAATCAATCAAACTGTCAGATAGCACAAAACTTTTGCACTACAGAAAGTATGGATTTTTATTTAAACTTTACGATTTTTTTGGTAAAGGGTGGTTTACACAAGCTAATTTGTGCAAATTAACTGAGAATGCAAACCCCCTTTAAGAGACAAACATCAAAAGTCAAAGGTAGACGTAAATTTAGCCCAAAATATCCAGTTCAAACACTGAAACTGTCTTATTGTCATTCTCACTTCCTTGGCCTAAACCAATTTACTTAGGTTAAAACCATGGTACAAAGAATACAAGGTATGATATTGCGCAGGTTGGTCGCTACGTCACAGGTGATAACAGGCGCTATTGGTCAGCACGCTCCGCGCGCCAGTTCAAATCGTCAAGATATTGTTATAAACCTGTTTTTTTGTTTATATACCGTCATTGAATTATCGCTAAGCAAGTTACTGTGGAGCAGTGCGTAAGGAGTCGGGTAGAAAGCGAGAGACCGGAGTTCGAATCTCGGCCGGGACATAACTTTTTATTTATTTTTTTAAATACTGTTGTATTCTATAGTTTTTTTTGTAGTATAAAAAAAGAACTATTTATTCTGTTATTTTTTAATCTCCGTTATTAATATAAATTGATTGTTGGTACAATACCTCATTTAATATAAAATAATCTACTTTTTGAAATGTATCGGGCCCTAATTGTACCTAAAAGTAATATATTTTTAGTGATATACCATATTGTAAACTATTTAATATTTCAGTCACTTAAAAAGCTAATTTGCATTGAATAATTGTCTACCATTAAAGGAAATTTGAGCTATAATATAATCCTCGATGGGCATATTCTGGGTATGCAAATACTTCCTCTAAATTTTGGGTGTCGTTCAACCAATTTATTCTCAAAACCAGAAACATCTACATATAAAAAGAAGCACAGGTCACTAATTATAATAAACTTCACCCTTGGAATTACTTCCACTAATTACAATACGTTCATCTGCATTGGCATTTTCTACTTTTCGATGGGAAACAATAAACTTCCCAACATTTTTTAAATGATGTAACAATTCCTCTTGTGGTTACTTTTCCATAGATATCCTCATCTCTGTCCTCATGTGAATTCAGAGGCAATGAACATGAAAATTATTTACCATAAACATCGCAAACTAAAAACCTAATAAACAATTTTATACCGAATATAGAAATAAATTTAGTATTCTTACCTATTATCGACCAAATCCATGTTAATAGGTAATTATTATTTTTAAATATATTTTTAGAACTGCTGATTTTAGTAATTATTAAATTAAAGGAACTAAAAAGTCTTAAAAATAAACAATTTTTAACCATAACCCCAAAAAATGCAGATATCCTGTCAACTTTCTTTATTTTTTATTTATTCATTATTTTCATAGTGACGTCACAGGTGGTATGCGCGAACTGAACGAAATTGGATCCGCTATCGATCATACCTTGTATTCTTTGTACCATGGGTTAAAACCACTGGGCAAGTTTAGTGGTATATAATTACACAGACTTGCAATAACTCCTTGGCAAATATGTATAATGATAGAGACCTTTGATTTAAATCATCGAAACTACATTTTGAGCTTTTATACTATAACTATATACAGGGTGTTTCAAAACAAATGCGAAAAAATTCAGGGGGTGATTCCTTGTTCAAAATAAAGGGTAGTTTGCTTTATAAACGTTGGGTCAAAAGTCAACCATTAGGGAGATATCGCGGTACAAAGATGGCGAAAAATAATGTTTTTATTTTTTATCTTGAAAACGAAAAGCGATAGACTAATGAAATTTTATAGAAGCATTACTGTTATAAAAACACACTTTCTGGTAATTTTTTCACTTTTTTAAAATGAGTGGAAGGGGAATCAATTGAAATAAACTACTTACCCCTATCATTCTTGTTAACGAAATTTAAAAAAAAATCTTATCAAACACATGCAAAAAAATTAATTTGGATAGCTTAGACTGTTTAGAAACTATTTTATCTCTTGTGTTTTTTTGATAAAACTCACCGATTTGAAACTAAAAAATAAAATGTAAAGCATGACATGTCAGGACAAAAAACATTTTTAGATTAAGAATCTAGTGATAATAACGATAATAATAATCTAGATAATAACGTATTGCAGTAGAGTAATGTCAAATAAAATAATATGAGAAACATCCTAAAAAGTGACAGAGAATTAATTGAGTGATTAAGAGTGATTAAAAGAAAAAATATAAAAGTGGGCAACACTGTTAATCTCGTGACTAAAAGTTTATTTGGTATGAACTATAGGTCGCTTAAATTGCAAAAACATCCAACTATAATACTTTTCAAAACTAATCTCCTACATCCTCCGCATACGAGCAAATAAACCCTTTTTTCTCATTCATACACCTACGCAACAGCAATCTTACTTAAGGTGGAATCTTAACCCTCTAAGCCCTTATTATTATTACCCCTCGCGTTGTTATGGACAAAAAGAGACCTTACTTATTTGCCTGCCTCTTCCATTAAGCCGTCCCAACAAAAAACTGTTAATGTGTCTGGGGGTAAAGCACAAGGGCGGGAGCTTGCCCTTTTTACCCTTAGACAGGGCCAAAAGGGTTTTTTCTTCTTTACGTTTCATGTTTGGTGTTCGGGACGAAATCATTTATCACCTACGACCCTGACTGAATTGAGTACGTGTAGGTAGTGAAGTGGATTTCATACTTTTTCACCGTGTTATTATTGAGCGGGGTGCTGTCACTTGCAATGTGACACGTTTTGAGTTTGCAAGACAAATTAAAAAATACATACAGTGAGATGAGAAACATATTTTTCTTTAGATCCAAAAGGTTCAGTTTTAAGACACTCCGTATACATATATAATTATTGATTTTTAAAATATTTATTCACAAATTAGGGAGAGGGAAATCAGACAAAGAACAGAGATGATAGGTGTTAGGTAATAGCCATATCTTTTAGACTAGCATTTGAGACGCATTGATGTTACTTTGGTTTGTAAGTTGTGGTCATTGTGACAAAGAATGTTATTCAAGGTAAAGTCAATGTTTCCTCATTATTTAACTAGTGTTGAGTCCATTTCACTGGTAGCAAAATAAGCGTTCGGCATTTAACGTTTTATGTAAAACTTAGGTATTTTTATACAAATGAAGAAGGAAATTAAATATATATCCGTATTGTAGTATCATGAAAAGAATATATTAAAACCGAATTATAACGAGAAAACTTTCCTGGACTGGATTTTTTCGAACTGGATGGAATGTGTCCATCAGCAGTTTACCATTAGCTGAAGAAGTATAATTCTTCGGTTGTGGGGAATAAATTCATTATTAAATAACATTATTATTATGAAAAGAATATATTAAAGCCGAATTAAACGAGAAAACTTTCCTGGACTGGGTCCTTTTGAACTGGATGGAATGTGTCCATCAGCAGTTTACCATTAGCTGAAGAAGTAGGATTCTTCGGTTGTGGGGTATAAATTCATTATTAAATAACATTATTATCATGAAAAGAATATACTAAACCCTAATTATAACGATAAAACTTTCCTGGAGTGGGTCCTTTCGAACAGGATGGAATGTGGCCATCAGCAATTTACCATTAGCTGAAGAAGTATGATTCTTTGGTTGTGGGGAATAAATTCATTATTAAATAACATTATTATCATGAAAAGAATATATTAAAACCAAATTATAACGAGAAAACTTTCCTGGACTAGGTCCTTTTGAACTGGATGGAATGTGTCCATCAGCCGTTTACCATTAGCTGAAGAAGTAGGATTCTTCGGTTGTGGGGTATAAATTCATTATTAAATAACATTATTATCATGAAAAGAATATACTAAACCCTAATTATAACGATAAAACTTTCCTGGAGTGGGTCCTTTCGAACTGGATGGAATGTGTCCATCAGCAGTTTACCATTAGCTGAAGAAGTATGATTCTTTGGTTGTGGGGAATAAATTCATTATTAAATAACATTATTATCATGAAAAGAATATATTAAAACCGAATTATAACGAGAAAACTTTCCTGGACTGGGTCCTTTTGAACTGGATGGAATGTGTCCATCAGCCGTTTACCATTAGCTGAAGAAGTAGGATTCTTCGGTTGTGGGGTATAAATTCATTATTAAATAACATTATTATCATGAAAAGAATATATTAAAACCAAATTATAACGAGAAAACTCTCCTGGACTAGGTCCTTTTGAACTGGATGGCATGTGTCCATCAGCAGTTTACCATTAGCTGAAGAAGTAGGATTCTTCGGTTGTGGGGTATAAATTCATTATTAAATAACATTATTATCATGAAAAGAATATACTAAACCCTAATTATAACGATAAAACTTTCCTGGAGTGAGTCCTTTCGAACTGGATGGAATGTGTCCATCAGCAGTTTACTATTAGCTGAAGAAGTAGGATTCTTCGGTTGTGGGGTATAAATTCATTATTAAATAACATTATTATCATGAAAAGAATATACTAAACCCTAATTATAACGATAAAACTTTCCTGGAGTGGGTCCTTTCGAACAGGATGGAATGTGTCCATCAGCAGTTTACCATTAGCTGAAGAAGTATGATTCTTTGGTTGTGGGGAATAAATTCATTATTAAATAACATTATTATCATGAAAAGAATATATTAAAACCAAATTATAACGAGAAAACTTTCCTGGACTAGGTCCTTTTGAACTGGATGGAATGTGTCCATCAGCCGTTTACCATTAGCTGAAGAAGTAGGATTCTTCGGTTGTGGGGTATAAATTGGACCCCGTTATGCAATAAGGAACCAACCGACTTCTTTACTGTTTTGAGAAAATCAAGAAAAACGTTTCAGACGGTGTCTTGTATTTAATTAGAAATAAAGCACATTTTAATTGAACAAATGCAACACGCTTTAATTATACTGGCCTAAACCAAGGATTTTAAAACAAAAAATATTTTTAAATATATTCTAAGTATGAGAAAAAACACGTGGTTCCCTTTTGCTTAATAAAAATAAAACTCTGAGAATTTAATGCTAGACCCAAATTAGCATTTTATTTAAAAAATAAACATTCTTATAAAAAAAAACAACAAAAAAACAAAACAAAAAGAAAAACACAAGAAACAAAATTATTATCTTTGGATTTTAATTAATATTCCTCTAGATCAAAGTCTAAGTCCATGTTATAGCCATCTATGTCCTCCACAATATTTGGATTTCCGATAAGGTTTTATATAAAGGGTGGTCCCTCTTCGGGAATTAGATGTAAATAACTTTTTATGTCTTTAGTTTCGCTTCAGCCACTTCTTTTCCATTTGGCCAAAGAGGTTCTAAAAGTGTAGAAAGGTTAACATTGGGGCCCTTTCCTTTTTAATATTAATTTCCTTATATTCGCTTTCATCATTGTAGCCTGCCCTGATAAAAATGCTGTTTTTTTCTCTTTTAAAATTTTAATTTCCTTAATATGTAGCCAATTTATTTTCTCTGCCTCACAAGTTTTTTTTTCTATTTACGATGGCCTTTTCTAATTTTTTTCGTACTTACAAAATCGTCTTTTACCATTCTGTTTATATTGATACGGCGTTTCCCCTACATGTTCGCATGATGTTAATATAATCCTGCGGAGAGAAAAAATCTTATTTTGTTTTTAATTGCACATTCAACATCCCCAAAGTCACTATCATTTGGGAGGAAACTGTGACCAGAGACCAGGAACCTTATTCTAATACTTTTAAATGCAAAGTCTCCTCTAGAATACATTTCATCATAAGCACCATTTTAATGTTGCGGTTCTGCCCCCGCACGAATCGCTCCAAAAATTAAATTTTCAACACTCTCCGATATGTTATTCATGGCGATATATTTTCTTAAACAGGAGCCTACCTCCTGGGCTCCTCTGCCAGCTTCCCCTTCGATCCAAATGTTAAACGTGGATTTTTTGCTTTCCAGCATAAATGCCGCAATTGTACAACCATAGCTGCCTTTTGTAAAACAAAATATTTGTACTTAGTCGAGGAAGAGGAAGCGTCTTTTGCATGTCGAATGTTACAGTCTCCGTATTTTCATTATTTTCTGCAATCTCAAGATCTAAATTCATTTCTTTTCTTGTTGTTTCTGCTTCTTGCAAATGAAGATCGTGCTCACTTTGAACTTTTATTTTTTCCTCTTCATTTGTTAAACCTTTTATTTTTGCACTAAAAGTGTCACACTTATTGCATGTGTCTTTTTTGGGCTTTTTTGTCTTAAATTAAACTTCGTTAGAAATATCTTTTGTAGGATGAAAACTTACTGGTTTTAAATTTTGCAATTTTATAAAGTTTATACATTATTGTCAATGTTGTCCCTTCTTGCAAAACTCTTGATTTCCTTTTGTAGATCTGCAATAGTGAGATTTATAGCGTGGAAATTGGTTGATATGTGTAATTACAGCACTTTCTTGATCAGCTGACATTTTGTTATGTCCACCACTACTTAGACCTCGCCGATCTGGTATTTCTAACTTTCTGACTTTGCAAAGCGCCGTATTTATGCGTTTGGTAGATACACGTAAAACGTTGATAAACATATCCCTACAAACTTCCGTTTTGTTAATAAAATATTGTCTGGAAAAGTTTCGCATTTGAGGATTTTTGCAGTCACAAGTTTTTTCTTTACAGATGATTCCCTTATATGTAGAAAGAAAAGTGGTTTGCACGTTGTAGTCTGCTAAATTCCAATATTGTTGAAAAAAATTCCGCTGCTCCTCTAGCGAAATTTTTTCATGACAATTCGCAAGACATTTGCATTTAAATTCAATAAACTCTTTGGGTTGTACAAGGTTTCCTTTTGCCGTATAATGTCGCTTATTACTATTGGTATATACTTTTCTTAAATGTCTATCCTGTTCTGGAAACTTTCTTTTCCTTCCCTTCCAGGACGTCCCTCGCTTTTTAAAAACAGGCTCATTTTCTGGCTCGCTGTCTGCATTTTTTCTGACGATTCTGCGTTGGAATCAGGCTGGTAAGTTTGATCCCTTATGGAGTCATCAGAGTCTTCCTCAAAGTCTCTATTACATCTATCCATTTTCCTTAGTTCTGCTCTTGGCTCATTATAGTTGATACCATTCTTCCCTTCAACATCTCGTTCCTCTTCTAAACATAAGGGAGTACTAGTTGAAGGAAGTGCCTCCATGTCAGTTGGGGGCTCAAAGAAATCTTCTTTCTACAATAAGGAATTACATTTTCATTTAAAAAAAAAACTGAGATTAAATAAGGAGTTTGGGAATAGTAAACCTACCTGGTTTGTGTGAGTACGTGAAAATTCTGGATAGACCAAAACTTCTGCCACTGGTAGACTCTGGTTGATACCCAGATTACATTCTTCATTAGGATTAGCCTGGTAAGTATCAATCTTTATAAAGTCATCAGAGTTTTTTTCGGCAACTATAATATAGTTTTTTTGCCCTAATTGTATGTCTGCTATTGGTTCACTATAGTTTGTATAGTTCTCCCCTTTATCTCTTTGCTTCTCTTCTACATATGAAAGTCTACTAGTTGACGGAACCAACTCCATATTATTTGGTGCCACAAACAAGTTATTTAATTTTAAAATGCTATTCTGAAAATAAATTTGCAATAAGGAACCAATTACATACCTACATATTAAAAAAAATCACAATAGGAATCAAAATCATTGTACATAATATTGTTTGTTCTATAGGTTTTTTAAAACAATCATTATAAATTGTTAAACGGATATGATTGTAAAAACAAGTTATTTCACTTTAGTAAAAATTAAACTTTAAGGTTAGAAACATTCAAATAAACGTAAAACTTACCTGATTTTGATCTATTTCAGCTAAAGGTGACTGTGACAATAGTTTTGTATTATTTAATATCTTTTGAACTCTCTGAGAAACTATATTTTGTTTAAACATGTTGCAGTAAATAAACACCGGCTAAAAACACTAAACAATAATACCCGTTACAACATTCGCCGTTTGAATAAAGACACTTTGGTTAAATTCGCAAAGAGACCCAAATAACTCTGGTTCAGACCTGCGCAACGAATAGAATACAGATTCCTGTAAAAAGGATCCAGATGGGTTTGGATCTTTATAGAAAACTTTTATTTCATTATTTTTAATTTTGCAAATTGGCTTTATTGGCCCGTAGATGGCTATATCATCATAAATATTTGGATCTCTATTGCAAATTGGTAAAGTAACATATTCCAATTAGTATAGTGGTAATATCTCGGTTTTTCAAAAATTGACGGTTGGTTCCTTATTGCATAACGGGGTCCAATTCATTATTAAATAACATTATTATCATGAAAAGAATATATTAAAACCAAATTATAACGAGAAAACTCTCCTGGACTAGGTCCTTTTGAACTGGATGGCATGTGTCCATCAGCAGTTTACCATTAGCTGAAGAAGTAGGATTCTTCGGTTGTGGGGTATAAATTCAATATTAAATAACATTATTATCATGAAAAGAATATATTAAAACCAAATTATAACAAGAAAACTTTCCTGGACTAGGTCCTTTTGAACTGGATGGAATGTGTCCATCAGCCGTTTACCATTAGCTGAAGAAGTAGGATTCTTCGGTTGTGGGGTATAAATTCATTATTAAATAACATTATTATCATGAAAAGAATATATTAAAACCAAATTATAGCGAGAAAACTCTCCTGGACTAGGTCCTTTTGAACTGGATGGCATGTGTCCATCAGCAGTTTACCATTAGCTGAAGAAGTAGGATTCTTCGGTTGTGGGGTATAAATTCATTATTAAATAACTTTATTATCATGAAAAGAATATACTAAACCCTAATTATAACGATAAAACTTTCCTGGAGTGGGTCCTTTCGAACTGGATGGAATGTGTCCATCAGCAGTTTACCATTAGCTGAAGAAGTAGGATTCTTCGGTTGTGGGGTATAAATTCATTATTAAATAACATTATTATCATGAAAAGAATATACTAAACCCTAATTATAAGGATAAAACTTTCCTGGAGTGGGTCCTTTCGAACTGGATGGAATGTGTCCATCAGCAGTTTACCATTAGCTGAAGAAGTAGGATTCTTCGATTCTGGGGTATAAATTCATTATTAAATAACATTATTGTCATGAAAAGAATATACTAAACCCTAATTATAACGATAAAACTTTCCTGGAGTGGGTCCTTTCGAACTGGATGGAATGTGTCCATTAGTAGAATTCCATCAGCAGTTTACCATTAGCTGAAGAAGTATGATTCTTTGGTTGTGGGGAATAAATTCATTATTAAATAACATTATTATCATGAAAAGAATATATTAAAACCGAATTATAACGAGAAAACTTTCCTGGACTGGGTCCTTTTGAACTGGATGGAATGTGTCCATCAGCCGTGTACCATTAGCTGAAGAAGTAGGATTCTTCAGTTGTGGGGTATAAATTCATCATTAAATAACATTATTATCATGAAAAGAATATATTAAAACTGAATTATAGTCAGAGGGTCTCAAGTCTCTGTAATTCGGAGTCAGCTCAGGTCTCAAGTCTCTGTAATAACACCAGAGTTATTCTAAAAAAATCCACATCGTGTCTCAAAAGTTAAGATATTTAGGACATACATTTATCAAGTTTTGTCTCTTAGAATAGGCACAAGAATCACCCTCTTAAATATTAGCATGCCTTTAAGGAAAACCCTGTATTATTATTGTCTTATTTTATTTTTGTATACTTTTTCAAGGGTTAGTAATAAAATTTTTCTCGAAACTCGCATAGCCCATTTCTCGATGCAAAAACGCCACTGAAATAGCAATATTAATTTTCCTGGGAGAGATATACATGCTTCGGCATCTTTATTTCTCTCTGGGAAGAAGCCTTCCGGAAAAAGGAATTTCCATTAGGATGGAATTTAAATATCTGCTTTTTAAATTTAATTAAAATTACAAAAGAAACATTAATAAACAAAATGTTTCGGTAATAAGGCAAGTTCCTTTTTTATTGCTGTGCATTAAAATGATATATAATTTTATAAGAGCTTTTATTACACGTATTAGCCTTGTATTAGATATATACCCTGTTATGCATCGTCTCAGGACATATAGAGACTTTTTTGAAAAGGAGTTTAAAGTTGTCTAAAGTCTTTTGTACCTAAAAATGTAATTTTTAGGTACAAACTACTTTTTTTTTGTCATAAACCTAACCCATAACAAATAAGGTATGTTGGGTATTTCCAAATCAGATATATTTGATGTATCATCTGGTTCTGATTCTGAAGGATGGATCTCTACCTCCACGAGTTCTAGTGGTTCTGGAGGAATTTCATGTTGTTGAATATCATGCTCCATATCCGCTTTTTGTTTTTGTAGTAATAATTTATTGTTATGAGCTACGAACATTATTTTACCGGCTCTTTGTGCTGTTAAGCGATTCCTTTTTTTAGTATGGATAAAACTGTAAGTACTGAAACTTCTCTCAGTGGCTGCAGATGACGTTGGTAAAGACAGCAGAGCAACAGCTAAATATTTCAACCTCGATTTCAACTGAGTATTTTTACACTTTGCTTGCCACCAACTTAGACAGTTTACATTTTTAACTGACATCCAAACGTAGTCGAGAGCCCATAAACCCGATTTGGCGCAATAATTTGTTACATCTGTAAAAATGGCTTATTATTGACAAACGGAGGATGATTGTTGGTGATATTGTTGATAAATTCCATAGCGGCTATGTGTTCTTCATTGTTAAGGTGCTCTCCCAGGAAACATGGGTCCAAGAAATTCGCAGCAAAATGCATTGGTTCAAGAGCCATAGGTTCTTTATTTTGTAAGGCGGAGAAGCATTCTTTTTCTTCTGACTTAAGAATCGGCATACTTGATACACTTTCGTTAAATTTTTGCTCAATGTCTTGAATTTTGAAAAGAAATTTCTTGCAAAATTCGGATTTTTGAGAATATTCGCGATTTTGGGACCGAATATTTCGGAAATTTCTGAAATTTCCTGCAAAATTCGAATGGAAATATTCGCTACCGACATCACTAATAATATGTAAACTTCTTTTAAGGTTGCTTGGGTCAGAGCTGAAGACCAGACCATACTCAGCATTGGCACCAAAGTGGTGACGCACAACAGTAGAATATCCGTCACGCATGACAACTTGCACACGTGGCAAATCAGGATCAAGCAAGTGAAGGAGACGGACAAAGGTTGCTATCTTTGTCAGGTCAACACCAACACTGTCAAAACGCAGGAGGGATGTCTGGATGTCAATGGTAAGTACAAGTACCAATAAATTGTGTGTTATTTAGAATAGATAATAATGTCATATTATGAAGAAAAAGAGTTCACAGAAAAAATTATGAGATGATTTTTTCCATGTTAACAGCACTAGAATGCGTTTTTATTTAGATCAGATGATCTATTTCCGTAATATAATCAGATGACTATATATACAGGGTGGTCCGAATAATACAGTTTGGACCACCCTATATAATAAAATATTCGTAATAAAATGGTATACTTACTCACTTACATCTACAAATCTTCAATAGATTTTTTCTTTGGAATAAAATTTCAGGTACAAATATTCCCGAAAATACACATTTTTATCGGAGGAAATTCAGAATTTCCACGCGATTTTCGCATCGGCAATATTCAAATCTCGATCAGTTAGACGCGAAATTGTTTTTCCTCCTATTCCCTGGCAAATAAATCAAAGAAGTGTCTGGCGTGAATTTTCACTAGAAATAAGTTTTTCCATTTCAAAATCGACCCAAATATGTGTAGGAAAACTCGTGTGTTTTCCACGTATAAAGAAAATTCTCGGCCATTTTCCGCTGGCGAATATTTCCCACAGGCTCGACATTTCTCATAATTTACCAGGTTTTTATTTCCACTGAATCCGAACCGAAAATGGGAGGTAAATGGCAATTTTCGCGCTTTTTTTGCTCAATTCTTTTACTCCTTGCGACATACCCCCAATCTTGACCTTGACCCCCCAAAAGAAATAAGCCCCCCTAAAAGTATATGTCTTGTTGCGCCCCTGGTAGTCAACATGTTTAATTTATGTCATTCATGACAGGTATTGATATTTTCGATTCCAAATATCTCGAGAACCATTACTCGTAGCCATTTTTACCAAGAGACCTTTTTCACGTAAAAAACGTCGTAAATGGATATTTTTTTACTTAATAGTTTTATACAGGTACGGACGAAAAGTTATTACTCGTCAAACCAGTTAAAAATATGTAGGTAGCGCCTCCTACAAGTAGGAGTCGTATTGACATCAAAATCAAATTTCTCATGTCATAAAACTTCCAGACACCAATTTTCATCCAAATATTGACGTTACTTCAGAAATTATTTGAAAAAGATCGAAATAAATAAAACTTCTACACCCTGTATCTCCGAAACTAAGCATTTTAGGATATACATTTATACGAACTTTTTTACGTATTTTTATCTGCAGAATAAGTTTCCGGAATACAGTTCGGACCACCCTGTATAATAAAATATTCGTAATAAAATGGTATACTTACTCACTTACATCTAGAAATCTTCAATAGATTTTTTCTTTGGAATAAAATTTCAGGTACAAATATTCTCGAAAATACACATTTTTATCGGAGGAAATTCAGAATTTCCACGCGACTTTCGCATCGGCAATATTTAAATCTCAATCAGCTAGAGGCGAAATTGTTTTTCCTCCTATTCCCTGGCAAATAAATCAAAGAAGTGTCTGGGCTGAATTTTCATTAGAAATAAGTTTTTCCATTTCAAAATCGACCCGAATATATGTAGGAAGACTCGTGTGTTTTCCACGTATAAAGAAAATTCTCGGCCATTTTCCGCTGGCGAATATTTCCCACAGGCTCGACATTTCTCATAATTTAGTAGGTTTTTATTTCCACTGAATCCGAACCGAAAATGGGAGGTAAATGGCAATTTTCGCGCTTTTTTTGCTCAATTCTATTACTTCTTGCGATATAAATCGCAGGTTTACATTAACGTTATTATTATTACTATTCCGTAATAGCCTGAGTAATAATTTCCAATGTCAAATGTTCAAATTAAGGAGAAAGGCTTGACAGAAAAAATTGTGAGATGATTATTTCCACGTTATATATCGAAATGCAGTTTTATTTAGATCAAAAAATGCTCAATTTTCGTAATATATCGTCAAAAGACTATACAGGGTGGTCCGAACTGTATTCCGGAAACTTCGGCAGTATATTCTGCAGATAAAAATAAGTAAAAAAGTTGGTATAAATGTATGTTTTAAAATGCTTAGTTTCGGAGATACAGAGCCAGTTTTTGCTTAATTCTTTTACTTCTTGCGACATACCCCCAATCTTGACCTTGACCCCCCAAAAGAAATAAGCCCCCCTAAAAGTATATGTCTAGTTGCGCCCCTGGTAGTCAACATGTTTAATTTATGTCATTCATGACATGTATTGATATTTTCGATTCCAAATATCTCGAGAACCATTACTCGTAGCCATTTTTACCAAGAGACCTTTTTCACGTAAAAAACGTCGTAAATGTATATTTTTTGACTCAGTAGTTTTATACAGGTACGGACGAAAAGTTATGACTCTTCAAACCAGTTATAAATATGTAGGTAGCACCTCCTACAAGTAGGAGTCTTATTGACATCAAAATCAAATTTCTCATGTCAAAAAACTCCCAGACACCAATTTTCATCCAAATATTGACTTTACTTCAGAAATTATTTGAAAAAAATCGAAATAAATAAAACTTCTACACCCTGTATCTCCGAAACTAAGCATTTTAGGACATACATTTATACGAACTTTTTTACGTATTTTTATCTGCAGAATAAGTTTCCGGAATACAGTTTGGACCACCCTGTATAATGAAATATTCGTAATAAAATGGTATACTTACTCACTTACATCTACAAATCTTTAATAGATTTTTTCTTTGGAATAAAATTTCAGGTACAAATATTCCCGAAAATATACATTTTTATCGGAGGAAATTCAGAATTTCCACGCGATTTTCGCATCGGCAATATTCAAATCTCGATCAGTTAGACGCGAAATTGTTTTTCCTCCTATTCCCTGGCAAATAAATCAAAGAAGTGTCTGGCGTGAATTTTCACTAGAAATAAGTTTTTCCATTTCAAAATCGACCCAAATATGTGTAGGAAAACTCGTGTGTTTTCCACGTATAAAGAAAATTCTCGGCCATTTTCCGCTACCGAATATTTCCCACAGGCTCGACATTTCTCATAATTTAACAGGTTTTTATTTCCACCGAATCTGAACCGAAAATGGGAGGAAAATGACAATTTTCGCACTTTTTTGCTCAATTCTATTACTTCTTGCGACATAAATCGCAGGTTTACATTAACGTTATTATTATTACTATTCCGTAATAGCCTGAGTAATAATTTCCAATGTCAAATGTTCAAATTAAGGAGAAAGGCTTGACAGAAAAAATTGTGAGATGATTATTTCCAAGTTATTTATCGAAATGCAGTTTTATTTAGATCAAATGCTCAATTTTCGTAATATATCGTCAAAAGACTATACAGGTGGTCCGAACTGTATTCCGGAAACTTCGGCAGCATATTCTGCAGATAAAAATAAGTTAAAAAGTTCGTATAAATGTATGTCTTAAAATGCTTCGTTTCGGAGGTACAGGGTGTAGAAGTTTAATTTTTATTTCGATTTTTTCTAAATAATTCTTGAAGTAACGGCAATATTTGGATGAAAAGTGATCTCTGGGAGTTTTTTGACATGAACAATTTGATTTTGATGTCAATATGATTCCTACTTGTAGAGGGCGCCACCTACATGTGTTTTAATTGTTTTGAAGAGTAATAACTTTACGTCTGTACCTGTATATAACTATTTAGTAAAAAATATACATTTCCGTAATTTTTTACGTAAAAAATGTGTCTTGGTAAAAATCGCTACGGATAACCGTTCTCCAGATATTTAGAATGGAAATAGTCAATACACCTCATTATTGACAAAAAATAAAATTGTTGTGTAGACAGTTATTTTACTAAAATGATAAATTTTTGTCTGTTGAATTTTTGTCACAAAAACATTTCAAATTTATGATTTCAGGTTACTATAATAACTATGTAGTCAACATATGACAGGTACCTATTTATATTTTCGATTCCAAATATCTCGAGAACCATTAATCGTAGCCGATTTTTAGCAAGAGACCTTTTTTACGTACAAAACGTCGTAAATGTATATTTTTTATTCAGTAGTTTTAAACAGATACGGACGAAAAGTTATTACTCTTCAAATCAGTTAAAAAATATATAGGTGGCGCCCTCTACAAGTAAGAATCATATTGACATCAAAATCAAATTTCTCATGTCAAAAAACTACCAGACACCAATTTTGATCTAAATATTGACGTTATTTCAGAAATTATTTGGAAAAAATCGGAATAAAAATGAAACTTCTACACCCTGTATCTCCGAAACTAAGCATTTTAGGACATACATTTATACGAACTTTTTTACTTATTTTTATCTGCAGAATATGCTGCCAAAGTTTTCGGAATACAGTTCGGACCACCCTGTATATCGAGAAACTACGGTCACGCTCGTTGAATTTGACACTTTATGTCAGTTTAATAATATATTTTCGTACTTTTATGCAAAAATTAATACTTTTGTGACGTTTGAAAAGAAAACTTTTTTCTTAGACTTAAATACTTTTAAAGAAAGCGAGAAAGTATATTTTTTATTTTCCTGTGTTTTCTTGGGTGTGTTTACATTCCAAAAAACGGAAACGTGATTATCCATAAATTATTTTCAGTAATGATCGTTTGCATAACGTTTTTTTCGGCCATTTTTTCTTTATTTTCTCTTCTTGTTTGTTGTTGCTCCTTCCGTTGTGTGGGCGTGATTTATGAGGGCAAAAGTTCTATCGTGGAACGACTTTTAGCCTTCCCTTTTTTGATTTTATATGTAGTTTGTTTATTATTAATGATTTCCCTAAAATACTCTTTATTCCAACGAATTTTCTATATACAGGGTGCTACACTTTATTAGGGCTATCTAGTCAGATAGGTATCGGAAAACCTAATATAGTTTGAAAGAGCATTTAAATCTGTTTCGACTTATTTAAAAAAATACATAGTGTTGTATTCGAAATAACCAAGTTTTCATGTAAAATAAATATTTAAAATCGACCCGCAATTTTTGATACCCCTGTATACAATTAAGCAAGCAATACACTTTTTTAGTAAAATTTATTTCTCTGGCTTGAAAGTCAGC